AGCTTTTTTTGTCTCATTCACTGTTTGTTTCCTGGGTCATGATGTTTTCTCAGAAGGATTTGTTAAATTTGAACGTTTAAATCCAGGTCAGTTTTATGTGATGATGAGCCCCCCAGAGGTGCTGCAGACGGCGACCCCTCGTACCATCGCACCACGCACACACACCTACACTGCGTGAGTATAACACGATACTTCCCCGCACATTCGTCTCATCCCTGAACTTAGCAAACCACCATAACTCTCTCCCTACGTGTTTGGCCGACTTCTCACCTCCATATTTCCTCACCCTTAACCCTGTAACTTCACAGTGGACTCAATGTTCTTCACCCCTTCCTCCCATTTGTGAAATAATTAGCTTTGTTATTGTGTGTACAAATTAAGATATAAAAAAATCTATATCCATCATTTACCATCTGAAAACCACACTTTGTCCTACTTACCTGCCATCCCCAGAGACCTTGATGAAAGCCAGGTGTTGCAGCATGGCAGTACAAACTGGTGAGAAGAACTTTCACATCTGCCCCACCCTGCCCCCATCATGTGTTGTAGAGACAGACGTTTGGTGGCTCACTAATCGATCGTTAGCATCCTCTTTGTATGAAATATATGTTGGAAGGTTTAGTAAACAATCAGCTATAGGTTAGAAACATCCTATGACTCTTGTTAGTACAAATATGGCCAATAGCAAATGATGCATTCTAATTCAGAGGCAGGATCACAAACGTGTGCCCTTCAGATGACCTGAAGGTTCAGCTGTGCCTGCATCTGATCCCCAAATCCCCCAGTCAGGGCTAATACAGACCAGAACTAGTGGTGCATGTGGGCCTTCCTCATCAAAGCTAAAAACATAAGACAGAGAATATGCATCTTTGTTTTGATGCAATGGACAGTAGCTTTTATCATGTTTTTTTCAAAATGAATTTTAATTCAGATGAAGTTCATTGATATTTAAACTCAGATATTTTATTCATAAGTTCTTTGTTTTTACAGGAAGGTGGACGGTCCACGGGCGCCCAGAGATGAGAGACGACGAGCACAGCACAATGAAGGTGTGTGGTCATTGTTGCAATGAGGGTTTGAGCTATTTTGTTTTAATCTTGTCTTTTGTAACAGATGGTTGTTGGAGTTTTTCTTGTGTTTTGTAGTAGTTGGAGTGCATGAAAGTGACAGGGTCTGCTGATAAGTTATTTTACAGTTGCTTCCTCTCTAAAGATAGAGTATATTTGAACTACAGCTTAATGGTTAGAAATGTATTTCTGTCTTTGCAGTGGAGAGAAGAAGAAGAGACAAGATTAACAATTGGATTGTTACACTGTCAAAAATCATCCCTGACTGCAGTGTAGACAGCAGAACTGGAGCGGTGAGTTACCTACAGAAATCGGTTCTAATACCATATATATTCTGCAACAATAATGGTTTAAATCCCCCTCTATAGAGCAGGCTTTTCAAGGTCACACTGCTGTTACATGGCCTGAAAGGAGCCGTTGTCTGTGATCTTTTTAAATTTGTGTCTGCATAATATTTTCTGCCTTCCATGTCTTCATGGTGCTTGAAGCCGGTGTGGAGGAGTGGAGCAGCAGGAGCCCAGATGGGCAAAAGAAATTGTAACTCGCGCCCCTGGTAGTCCACGCTGTGGGACTTAGAAAAAAGAAAAAAATTGTAACTTGCGCCCCTGGTAGTCCAAGCTGGGACTTAGAAAAAATTCTGTTCCTTCCAGACTCATTGACCTGACTACTGCTTGAATCTATGCACGTTCTGTCCAACCTCTCCTTTCACCTAATGCATGCTTCTATAGCTAATGCTGGGAGTCAGACTGAGCCTCCAGGTTACACACTCAGCCAGCATGAAATGGTTCAGTCACTGGAGGAAGGTTCAGTAAATGTTCATGTGAGTGACATAGTAGGGGAGGCTGAATGGTTTAAAAAAAGAACTTGGTAATAAAGAAGGTGATGAGTCCTTTTTAACACATCTCTATCTGCATTTCACAGAGTAAAGGAGGCATCCTGTCCAAAGCTTGTGACTACATCCGAGAGCTGCGTCAGAGTAACCAGCGGCTGCAGGAGAGTTACAAAGAGGTGGAGCGAGTCGAGATGGACAACGAGCTGCTTAGAAAACAGGTCAACCTCCCATGAAAACCTTCATTACTTGAGTCTGAATTTGATAGACATATCTAAGGTTCTGTTTATTTTAAGTAACACAGAACAAAAATTTTGGGAAGCAGGCCTGTGAGCATCAGGTTGCCTATTTAATTGGCCATGTTAACAGGAAAACATCTGGATGGGTAGCAGCACATTTATGAAAAAAAAAAAAGATCAGTGTAAAATAACTTCAGAAATGAAATGAAATTACTTGCTGCCTACAGCCCTTCTGTTGTTATTCAAACTCTCCAAGGATGAAAGTGAGTGAAATGAAACTCAGCGTTTTCCTTGTCTTATTTTCTGGTTCTGTGGTTTTTCCAGATCGAGGAGCTAAAGAATGATAACGCACTTCTTCGAGCACAGCTGCAGCAGCACGGCGTAGAAATCAATGGAGATGCAACGCCACAGTGATTGTGGACTGGACACATGTAATGTCACAAACACAATGTTGCATCCTCCCACCCACCTGAACAATACCAGGATAGGAATAACAACGAGAGACAATTTGGACTACAAATCCACACCCAGGGCTCGAGACACACACTGACGGACTTCAAACTGAAAACGCCTCCTCCTCCTCCTCCCACAGCTGAAAGACTCTGAAATCCGTTAACTGTGTAGCTAACTGAACCTCTCACCTGTGCTTTAAGGAAAACGACCTCTGCACCGCACCGCCACACTTGTACCAAACTTTCCTTTTATAAATTATGAAACTGCCACAGATTCATTACATTCATTCACTTTTATTGATTTCACGTTTTTATCATACTGCAAACCCCTGCTCCTTCCTCTTTGTTGGCACTTGCTGTTTGAAACTACTAAATGTGACAAGAATTATAGCTTCCATTTGCTTTTTTTTATTTATTCCTTAAGGAATGTGTACTCAGAA